TTTAACAAAGTTAAATTCTGAGTGGTTATGGCCTTTAAGCTAGGCATCTCAAATTATTTCTGCAGGGGCCAGACTAGAAATGCTGCGTAATGTATATGGTGTTATAGAGCTTTGCAGGTTTTTTGCCTTAAATGCTCCATTTGGAGGTGGTTATGATTCGGAGAGGGTTCGGTGGATTCTGTTGTCTCTCTAGTATGGCCCACAGTGGGAGGGAAGAATGTATCTTTCATTATCTGGATGGTCATCATAATAGCATGTAGCAATTAGAGTAATGAACTGAATGTGTATTTAAATTGAACATCTGTACATAATACAAACACAGAGACTATCTTGCATTCATAAATACTTGAGCAATAATTAAAAAAAAAAAAATTATGCTGTGAAGTGAAGCAACCAAGCATCCTCCCCAGTATCCCGTCCAGTGCAGCAGCAGGTCCCCCCCAGTGGATCAAGAACTGCCTTCAGGACTTTAATTACATTTCAGTCAGTACAGTTACATGACTGTAGATGGTTGTACTTCATCCTTGCACTGGAGAATTGCTGTATTAACACAGAATGGTGAAGAACAGTGGAATTTAGTGAAAATGGAGCTACTTTGCTTTGAAATGCGGGCGAATGCTTTCCCAGTCTTAAGTCCATGAGCCCAAGTAGAGCCCAACCAACTGTGCTTTAGGTGTGTGATCATGTTGGCTCCCTTTTGCTGTTTACTTAATATTTTTCACCATGTAAATTGATTCTGCAAGTATTTAGACAAAAATGGTAGTCTTACGACACTTGCAGTACTGTTATCTGAAGGGGGATGTTTGTGGAACTGGGGACAAAGTTTCTGTTCTTAATGCCTCTGAAAAATAGACTCTTCTCGCATTTCATATGTTTAAGTACCTGTTGCATGCTTTTGCCTTATTTTCCTTTGCTTTTAGTGATAAACTTGTGTGACTGAAAATATTGAGATCTCCTTGTGTGCTGTTCAATGGAGACAGAGCGTTGTATGTATGGTGATCCATCACAAGAAGCACTTCTTTTCTGTATTTTGAAATGTGAAAACATTGTTCTGAATGTGATCACAGGCTTCAGGCAATTCATTTACAAAGAAGGAATTACATTGGACATTATATTGAGGTGATATACAAGATTTGGAACAATAAAAAGCTCTCTGATATTTTTAGTTTTGTGGTCACAAATTTCAGCAGCTATAGATTATAGATAGAAAGCATTTACTGTCTGTGAATTTAAGATGGCAAAGGAAAAGATGGAAGTTCCATCTGTTGCTTTACTCAAATGTGCACTTAATGTGTGCACAACCTGGGGATGAGGAAATCTGCGGACATCATAATTCCAGCTAAACAAGAAACAGGAGCATTTCTCTTTCCACTGGCATCTCTTGTGCTCAGATTTGCACAAGACTTTTTGCAGTCGACTACTGCACTTAAAATGAGCTGGAAGGATTGTTGGAGGAGGATTACAAAGATAGGTCAGGAAGTTTAGCTTTTTGTCTTCTGCTCTTAAGTTTCTTCAGTGTGGCCGAGTGCTTTGAAAAGCAATAAATTGCTTGCAATAAGTCCGGCTGTGCTTTTCTGCAGGAACAGTAATATAGGTTCCAATGTCCAGGTGGAAAATGAGCAGGTAGCACACTTCAGTGTTGAGAAGCTGTAAACGCTGGCATGGCCACAAAAATCTGGGAAAACCCCAGGCAGCAAACAAAATCACCCTGCAAAATGAGACTTCTGTGGAGATGCGTATGAGTAAGTGTCTGTGTCGACAGACTAAAATAGGCAATATTAAACAAAATTGCTATTGGCATCATTTTGTCTTTGAAATGCATGTTAGCTGGGCTTCTTGGTGTTTAACGATAAAGACAAGTAATGTGAGCAGATACTAGTATGAAAAAATTTATTCGAAAGAGGCATGCAGACCCTGAGGGTACGGGATGGTTAATAATGAGCTGTCTAATAAAAACAGTCCCAAAAATGACAAGTCTGAAAGAGACTGCATTAAAACAACCTTCCTTGCTACTTCCAAGTTGTCCATGTAGAGGCTTGAAAGATTATTAAATGAAGTTAGTAGTCCCCTGTGTTTTGTCTACCTGAGGGAGCTGAAATGAGACGCTGGCTGGAACAGGAAATGTACAATAAATCCCATTTTTATGACTCTAAGTCAATGATTTTATGGTTTTCGTAACAGCTGTGTAAGAAGTATTTCAGGTTTTGATTTTGGTGAGCTTCTATGTTGGTTTGTGTTTTTTTTGGCTTTTGTGTTTTGGTTTGGGATTTGTGTTTGGTTTTTTAAGGCAGTGTGTATTAGCAAATTAAATTGCATGTAATCCTGAGATGGCTATAGAAAGGTTCAGTGAAATGAAAACCTGTTTTGAAGAAGTATTTTTATCTCAGCTAGTTTTCTTCTTAGGAACAGCCTGAACAGATGCTTGCACTTTTTTTCAGTTGGAATGGACAGGAGCAGACCATAAAACATAGCACCTGGTTTATAAACAGCAGCTCACTGGGCATGTGGTCAGCCTGAACTGGTAAGACAATGGGAAGCCCACCAAGAACAGGATGAAGTCGTGTCTTCGCTGAACACCGTTGCAGGTCTGTAGGGTCTGGCAGAACGTGCAAACTGAAAGGGAAAACGTGACTTAACAATAATGTCACCTAGAGCTTGCAGCTTAATGCAAGCTGTTCACTGTGGTGCCAGTGGGATTTATGGGATCTGAAATACAAATGTGTCACGCAACATGGACTCTTCATCATCAGGGTAGTTGTTAGATCAGGAAAAATGACACACTTGGTCTGCATTTTCTCCTGATCTTTGCTCTAATTTTCCCTTTCTGAATTTCACATCATCCTTGTTCACTTTAGACATGTACTCATTTCTCAACAGGTCACAACAGACTATGGGGGTCTACTTAATACCATTCCTCTTAGAAATGTAAATACAAGATTTGTTGATCTGCTGAACTCTGCCCCGAGCCAGAGCAGATGTTACTTGGTTTAAGCTCGGCTCTTGTCCTCCCTGTGCGTCCTCTGGCCTACAAACACCCCTTGCCTCGTAGCAGCAAGCTGCTGAGACATATGCATGGGGATGTTACATTTACATAACTGGAGACTGTAGCACTTCAGGATAGAACTGATGCTAACAAATGGACTCAGGAGTACCTTGGCTACAACACGTTTGTCTTGGCCAAACTCATATGTGTTTCTTACTGTTGCAAAGAGGGCTTTGAATTTCAATTTTATTTTTAATAAGGTAATATTTCTATTCAGTAACGTACTTCTTCCAGCCTAAACTTAAAATAAATACATTTCTATATTTTAAGCCATGTAGTTTTGCTAATGTGCGACTGTAACAGTTGAGCTGGACGTCAGAGCATCTTAGAAAGGCAGGTCTTGCTTCTTAAGCCCGTTGCTGTTTATCTGACTCCCAGGAGAGAAGAACAATGGGGGAGGGAGGAACAATAGACACTATATAAGGAAAAAAACCAACAAATGAATAAATTAATGTCAGCCGTCTGGAAGCAGTTCCTTACTCGGCTTCTTTAGGGGAATGGTGCAGGAACAAAGCCCTCAATCCATTTTCATGTTCTCTGTAGCACTCCTCATACTGCTACATTTCTGTATCCAAATAAAGTCACTTTCCATCCACACTGAAATCCATCCTCATGACACCACAAGGCCACTGGGTTATTTCTTTGTCATAGGGTTACAGATGAGTAACTGAGAGCAGTTTGGCCATGGGCTGCGTTTTGCACTGTTGTGTGTTACCGTGATTTTTGTATGCTGTAATAACAATAAATTTTCTCTGTGATTTTCATATGAGCTACTGCAGGGTCAAATCCTCACCTTAGGCCTCAGCCCCACCGAGGACTTGTTTATTCTAGGAAATGACTGTGTGTGATACTATGGGCTGCAGTAGTATTCTTTAAACTTCCAGGTCTGTACCGACCGTTCAAAGCCCACCAGGAAACCCGTAGGCAGGCAGTGCTGATCCCAGACCACTGCCTGGGCATGCTTTTTATTGAGAAATTTTTGCTAGTCATACACATCATGCCTGACATTCAGCTGATACAATGATAATACAATAATTTGACTAAGCCCTTTTGGTGTTGTACAGGATTAGGAATCTGATTATTGTCACCACCCACCCCCAAAGTTTTGACATCGCCCTTGTTGATGCAAGCTGTAGAAAGAGATTTTGTTTTCTTCCTAAATCTTAAGAAGGTGGCAGGAGAGAAGGATATGAAATTCCCAACGGTGGTGTGGTGGTACCCAAAGTAAAATCTACGTTCCTGATGAACCTTTTTTGACTGTGTATGAGCTTTGGGTGAAAATTTGTGCATCGTTTGTGTGGTCATCTGGAAAATGTGCACCCTTGGGGCTGTGTGGTGCAAGCACAGACAGCCCGGGGAGAGGTGAGCAAGTCTCTTCCCCTCTCCCATTGCAGTCTTCCCTCTGCAAAATGGGATGGTGGTTTTGACCTCTCATACAGTATTTTGAGACTGGTAGCAAATTCTAGATCCCACAGCATGGACTTTTCTCAGCTAACACACAAACGCATATTCCTCATTTTAAGTCTATACACATATTTTAGTTTCAATTAGCAGTTTGTGTTTTGCAGCAACTGCATGTGAAGACAGAGGGCAGGTTGTTACTTTGCTCTCTTCCTCCAGCCATTTTATTTTCCCTCTGGCATAACCTGTCCACATGCAGAGCAAAGCACTGCAACCGCACTTTTATAGCATGAAACCACAGCCTTCCTCTTCTCTTTTACTAGCCTCCTCATGTGTTTAAAAAGGTGTCAAGACTGGCTATCGTGCTTCTGTATTAACAGAAAATAACAGACATTGGGGTATAGGTATTCAGTAAAAATGTTCTGGGCCAGTAACCAAATTGCCTTTGCCAAGGTATTTTTGCCACCAGGTGTAAGCTGATTTATACCGGAAATACTAAGAGGTAATTACCACTGAGGTAATTACAGCTGCACGAGGGGCTTGCCAGTGGAGCAGCATGGTGGGCGATGCTCTGCCAGCTAAATACATCAGAGATACCTTCACACTGACACTGAAAGATTTAGAGCCAGATCGCATTGGAACGTATGTCAGTGCTTGTAAGTTTGTGGAAATGTCTGCATTTGCTGTACTGAGAAAGTATTTTCAGTATTTTTACTGTTTAGAAAGAAGTGCAAGGTCATCACATGTAGATCATGACTTGGGGTTCAAAAATTAAACTTACTTGATAGCCTTATAGCACACACAGGAATATTCAACATATTGATGCTTTTTCCTGCAAAGCATAGGAAATGTTTTTAATGCTGTTCTGTGTAATTATCAATTCTAAATCAGATTGGAGGTGATCTGAAAAATTATTCACAGATGTAAAATACAGATACTAGAATATTTCATGTTGAAGGACAGAAATATTAACTAGAGTTCATTCATGTCAGTGGTTCCTTTGCATTGCTCTGGCCCATCTCACTTGACTCGGATACCCCCAGATGCGCCACTCCCACATCCATCATCATTGCCAGGTAGGTCCTGGAGAGAAAGCCAGCATATTCAGTTCCCAACCAGCTAGGTAAGGTTTTTATTACACCGCGTACTTTTTAAACATGTATTTTATACTACAAGAGGAAATTCAAGCCTTGGACTTTGCTATGACTTCATTTGAGGAGCTGAGAGGGTGAGTCAAACCAGATTTCTTTTTAATTCGCCCTGCAGACAAACAAGCTCCTCTTTGCCTCCCCTCATGGCTGTTTTGCAAGCCTGGATGTGGGCTCAGGGGCATGGGCAGCCTGACTGATGGCTTTTGAGTCATACATGTATGGATGTTTCTAGTCCTCTCTGAGGCCCACATTTTCTTCTGGGAGTGCAGGGAACAATCCAGTCCTTGAAATTAGCGCCTGCCTGCAGACGTAGGCAAAAAAAAGGCCAAATACTTGGGCCGAGAAGTTGAAGCATGCACTCAACTCCACTGGCCTTATGACAACTCCCGGTTTGCTTGACATATGCTGCCTTCACTGGAGCCAACAGGACTTCTGCAGCTGAGTTAAAGGGATCAAGGTTTCATCTGCAGTGATAAAAAAATGCAAAAAAGCCTTTCCAGGCTTAGGCCCCTGTGTTTCTGAGTTTGTATCCGTGGTTGCTTTCACAACCTATCCACATTTTTGATCTGGTTTCTGAGCGCTGCCCTTTGGGAGGTGTGTTTCTACTTGCAGGTTTGCTTTAACATCAGAAACTGAAACAATAAGCCCCCTGCTACCCCACTAAAACTAAATCAGGCACATGCTCAAGCGGTTGCTTGATACCTTTATAATGAGGAAGAATTTATTCAGTTAATAAATGCTGCTGCTTCTCTTAAGGTTCTTGTCAAGTTGGGACACCCTTTGTAGTACCATTGTGCTGCAAGTTATGTAAACATCAATATAGGCGCATCCTCCCCCTTTTTTAACCTGAAAAAAAAGCCTCTTTATAAACCCTTTGACCATTACAAGCACTTTTCTAAAAATGGTCTCCTGTCACTATGTCAGGGCTCTTTCTGCATAAGCACCTCCTTCTCGAGCATTGCACTGTGCAGGGTAGCGTGCTTTAAAAATAGGCATTTCCCAAATAATATACGAATATATCTCCAGGAGACTGATCTGAAATGAATGCATTGAGTCTGCATTCACAGCAATGCTTTCTATTTCTTTCCAAGCGAGGGAAAGAATTTTTCTTGGGGTTTGGTTTTTTTTTTTTCTTTTCTTCTTTCAACACAGAAAAGAAACCTCTCCTTGTCCTCCCCGGAGCGAGGCGCGGCTGCACCCCGCCGGGACTCTCCTTTGTTCGGGGCCAAACTTCGGGGCGGAGCGGGGCGCCGGCCGGCGGGAGGAGGGGGGGAGGCGGGCCGCGCGGC